GCGGAAGGAGAGAGTGCCAGCCAGAGCCGAGTGCCTGAGAGACAGAGAGAGGTGACACAAGGAGGGTGGGCACGAAAAGGAGCTCTAGCATGGTACATTCTTTATTCAGGCATTTGTGGGAGAAGCACTGTACTCTGCAGCATTGTCCATCGGGGATGATCACATAAGCTGGTAGACAGACCAGTGAGAGGTGAGAAGAGGGCTTTTCATTATCAAAAGACTTCAACACTACCAGCAAGAGGTAAGGATTGGCGAGGGACATATGGTGGGCGTGAAGAAGAGCTCCAGCATGGTACATTCTTTATTCAGGCATTCGCGGGAGCAGCACTGTGCTCTGCAGCATTGTCCATCGGAGTGGGGTAGGGTAGACATAAGCCGGTAGACAGACCAGCGAGAGGTGAGAAGAGGGCTTTTCATTATCAAGAGACTTCCACACTACTGATTCTTGTGGTGGCGTGAGCATTGCTTTGCCATTTCTGCTAGTTGCCTGGTTGCCATATGAATGCTGGTCACGATTTCTGCTCGTAATCTGCGTTTCTCCAGTGGCATTTCCTTGCACAAAGGCCTGAAATTTAGTTAGTAGAGGGACAGAAGGGTAAACTTGGTAAAGCTTTGGATGCCAGTGACAACAGGTATATCTTTGGGGACAGGAGGCATTTTCCAGCAACTCAAGAAGGCACTAGGCCCCGTAGGCTTAGAGGCAGAGGACCAGAGGTAATGATGGTACAGGACTGAATCAGGGCAGTTATCAAGATAGGTACTGTCTCTTATACACATCTAGATGTGCATAGAGGCAGAGGACCAGAGGTAATGATGGTACAGGACTGAATCAGGGCAGTTATCACATCTAGATGTGTATAAGAGACAGGCTTAGAAGCAGAGGACCAGAGGTAATGATGGTACAGGACTGAATCAGGGCAGTTATCAAGATAGGTGGCTGCTGGACCTGCCGGTCCAACCAAGTATACCATCAGCGGCATTGGTTGAGTAACTTGAGTTACTTCCCCCTCACTGATTATGTGCTGCTCAGCCAAGAGGGTGAATAATGGAACGGATGGGGAGTCGTAATGGAGCATAGAGTAGGAGCTTGAAGAAGAAGGGTTTGGCTAGGGAGTTGGGCGCTCAAGATGGGCATGTAAAAGAAGGGAGAGGCATCATGTGAGAGAGAGGAGGAGGTAGGAGAGAGCGAAAAAGGTGAAGACTTACCTTCGGTTACAGTGAACTTCCATTCTACAGTCCTGGAGGTGGCACTGCTTCAAGAAGAACCTTCTGGGGTTCATTTGAGTTGAGACTTCACATGGGAATATCGAGCTGCAGTTCCATGTCAGAAGGGGGACGGTATCCTGTATTGTCTCCTGTGCATCATGCTTGAATAATGTACGGTCATTATGCCTGTATTTGGACATGCTTCACTCCAGATACAGCGCTAATGGCCATATGTTCTATTTGAGGGAAACGGTAGTCCTACCAGGATAGCGAAAAGGGGAAGGAGAAGCTGAAGGGGGGTTCATTGATTTGCTAGGGGCATCCATCGAAGATTGACTCTCGGTTCTATAATGTGTTCTTTGGTATTGCTGAGAAATAAGAACGGAAGAGGAGATCTGAGGGTGATGATAGAGTGGCAAGGAGGGAGAGTTGACATCGAGAGTATCTTGAAGTCTTCTTCTTCTTCTTTTCCCAAGATTTTTGGACGATTTCTTGACTTTTGTTTTTAACTTTCCTACTGGTTGCCCACCATGTACGGGGCAGCAGTGGATTGGGCTTTTTTTGCTGCATGTGCTTACTTGACGTGTGTGAGCTGTACCGGCAGAATGGCGTTGTCTTAGTTGAGGTGGTTGCTTTTTTTTTTTTTTTTTTTTTAACAGGTCCTTATGGCCCTGGCTCCATTTCCATTCTGGGGAGCATCAGTCCGGTTCCTATTCCACCGGCAAGTCAGAATAAAATAGTACATCATGAAACACACTCATGCTTCCTTCCGTCTTGCCGAAGGAACCCTGACGAGCATTGTTTACTCCTGCATAATGGAGGATTGACCGTCAGCTTGCCTTACTTCCACCTTTCCTCTCGGGTCCACTGCACAAACCTGTCGGATGACTAATAAAGAGCAAGAAAGGTAAGAGAAGCCATGGAAGTTACAGTCCCAGAATTTTCCCTTCAATATTATGTGACCTGTGATGGATCTTGTCCTTCTGCTGGCTGGAATCTCTGTCTTCTCCACCCTGCCTCTGATTTGTGCCAGTCTTTCCATCGTATGTGAGTGTCATTTATCTCTGCCACTTTGCCCCTTGCAAGCCACACCTTAGTGCGAGGCTCAAGGCCTTGATCTGCCCAACTGGGCCCTATTTCTGTACAGTCGGCCCCCTAAGTGAAGGCAGGCTCGACCCAGGGCCTACAGGCCCATTTTTGGGGTCACCACGCAACTGGGTAATTTCAGGCAGTTGCGCAGCGCCAGTTGGTTGAGAGCGACTAGGCCCAGGCTGCCTTTTTCGAATGTAAGCAAGGCAGGTCCTCGGCCAGATTCGCAACATGGACCGAACACAGGCCGCGGGCAGTTGAACAAGGGCAACCACCACAGGCCCAGTGCCTGATCCGTTTGGACTGGGGCTCAGCTGCTCTGGGCCTACCAGAAGCTTCTGGGCAGGGGCCCAGCGCAGCCAGGCTGCACGCAAGCAAGCAGGCCACTTCCATTTAGGAAAGGGCCTGCCCACGCATTCGGCATGCGGGCACTGGCTGCATGCTGCGCAAGCGCAGCTGCGCTAACGCTGGCCATCGCTCACGCGCTCACGGGCGAGCTGGAAGGAGCAGGCAGCCACAGCCGAGCTGCGCTGCTGTATGCTGGATGGGGCGCATGGTGGTCTTTGGGTGCATGTGGCATCTGTGAGTTGGGGATCGAGGTTATGAGAGACGCGAGAGACATACCTGGTGCTTGAGACGAACGGCATTGGCCGAGATCTGCTTGTACTTCGGGGAGCTGCTGACGTCATCAGCGACATTGTAGATAGGCTAGATAGGATCTGCCATTTGTAGTCTGGGCGCCAAGCACCAGATAGGATGTCGACATTGGTTCTTTGTTGATAATGATGAGACCATACTTGTGGCGCACCGACCCTGTGCGCTGCGCGGTGCGCCGCGCGCTGTGCGGTGCGCGCGCACCCGGGTGCGCAGTGCGCAGTGCGCTGCGTGGTGGTGCTCTGGCGGGGCGCGGGTGCGCACACCATTTTTTTTTATTTTTTTTTTTACTGTTTGTTTAGGGATTTATTTTACTGTTTTTTTATTTTAGGGAGAGAGAGAGAGAGA